ATATCACAACTAATATATGGCTTAAAGTCATTTCATCGAAAAGATATCCGGAATTAAATATATGTATCCAATCGGCACCGGATTTGGCATTCATTTCTAGACCAACACTTATATACATAAACCAAAACAGGGCATTAGTAGGCAGTAAACAAGACAGCGATTCAAAACCCAAGTGTGATAAAATTGGCTGTCCATATTGTCGCCTAATAAATAAGTAAATAAGAGGAATAGAAGTGCATATAATCCACGAAATAATGGTAACAATGACTGCAATGTTAGGACTTCTGAAGAATACGGATATAAATGCAGCAAAAAGTATGCATTGAATGAGAAATAGTAGCGAAAAGACTGCAAACAATGACAAAGAGATTCCGTTTAGAAGTGAATGTGAATGAAGTGGAGCTAAAGATTTATAAGATTCATAATACATAATATTAGGATAACAAAGGATTAATGTGATGATCATATGTTGGACACCAATGACAGTGAGGGCATCAATGATAACAGCCATCCAGTGGTCAATCCTCTCGATTCCCAACTGAAACAAATAGTCTGTAATCCGTGTCTGTCTGTCCTCTACTATACGCTTCACAATCACCGGTAACATCACTAATAAGTCAAATAATATTAATAATCCCACAAAAATATAAGAGCCATTAAAATAAGTATTAACATGTTCAATTTTCTTGTTGTATGTCATGGAAGGGACGGGCATTTGTTGGCTATATATCTGCATACTATTCACTATTGAATTATTAGTTATTAATAAAATGTGTGTTAAATCTATAGCCAATTGTAAGCGACAGAAGCCGTAATGAAAATATACATTTTCATCACTTTTCGGTATAGTTTTATGTGAATATAAATAATGGTAAGAATATGAATCAATTAGCCGGTCATTAAAACTAATTTTATAATCCAAATGCTTGGGCGCACCGGTAGTCCACTCATTATCCTTCACTACAAAACTAACACCAATTGTTTTAAACACTCCTCTATCAGTGATATTAATCATATTTTTAGCCACATTTTCATTGAACTCATTTTCCTCATCCACACCAAACACATGAAACACATCCGTTGTATTGACTGTCGGAATATTGAGTCGTTTTTCCACTATTTTCATCACAATATTTGTATAAGAATTACGCGGATAATAGACAATCTCAAAGTACTTCCGACCACCTATTACATGTGAACCAGAGCTGGTCCACCATTCAAGTGGCCGTATTGGTGTTGTGGCCATATTTTTATGTGCAAAATAAACTGTCGACACGTTTTCAATGGGATTGTCGTGAATGTCGTCGAAATCACTTTTGTCGATATGTATGTCCCGTTGTAGTAATAAAACTGAAAGTCCCGCAAATATGATGGGAATTATGAATAACAATACAAATGCAATCTTATGGTGGAAACGGATTAACCAATTCTTGTGTAATAATAACCTAATGACTGTTAAATGAGATGAGAATTTCATTTTGACACTATTGTATGAAATATTACTAGTAATTAAAATTAATATTATAAATATTTACGATATTAATTTCAAACAAAATTGTTGACATTAAGTAATTTAAATGTAGTTTATCTATGATATGGTAGTCACATATTGACTGAACTGACATTACTGCCACTTTCAATGTTATTCTTGAGTGCAAGTCAAGGATTCTTACGAAACTAAAAACATAACAAAATTGAAAACTGAAGGCTATTTCCATAGGATGTGAAACTTATAATACTTGTATTTTTATTACATTTACATTTTACATTACATTTTATTATGAAAACATATTCATAATAAATGATTAGTAATAATCAGTGTCTACCAATCTTTTAACAATCCGTAAAAGGGGAAAACTGTTGTGAATGAGTAAAACTTTTTTGGGTAGTGTCAATAATAAGCGGGCACTTGGGAATTTTTGCTTGGATATCAAAGTTATATTCATATTCATAGGATATTCAATTCCTTTTAAGGATTAGTTAAAAGATTGGTAAACACTTTTAATAATCAATCATACTAATATTGGACAAATTTTTATATTGTCATTTAAATTATAGATTTTTACATAAACACATTATCTGATCAAATTTGATGCAAACTTTTTCTCATTCACTTTAATGGCAATATCCACTATATTAGAGCCCAAAAAGTAGTCGGCGCTCACAATATTAATACAGTCCCACCACTGGCTGTAAAACCACTTCGGGAACAGTGGGTTCACAGTGTCGGCCCTCTGTCTCAGCCCTCCCTTCGATTGGAAACTGAATATAATTTCCTTAAAAGTTGGTGTCATTTGAGCCATAGCTGAGCGAAGGTATTGCCTCTCATGGGGTGAACACAGGTGTGACCGGAAATACTGTTCCAAACCTTCCACAGAGTTCTCATTCGCCCACTGATGCCTCACAGGATGCCATACCAGTCCCCTATCTGTGTCGCTCGTGAGCACATGTTTGTCCTCATAGCCAATGACCAGTCGTTTATCCGATTCTATCATTTCGTTTATCGTCTTATTTGCTAAAAGTTTATAAAAAAATTAAAGAATATTCTTTAAGTGTATGTATAATGGTTTTCTTGCCATAACTTTCCGGTGCAATCCATTGGCCGACAAACTCTTTAATGAGATCCATAAGCTGTTGGTGTCTGTCGTGAAATACCTGTCCGGTTGAGTCATTCATAAAGTTCCTGTGCTTATGTATATCAAAGATGACCACCTCTTTGGGCGCCGCCATTAGAAAAGCTTTAATGTCTTGTAGTATTCGACGGACTGAGTGCTCGCACATCCATTGGCCGTGAATTATCTGTAGGGGCTCTTCTATGGTGAGGGACTGGTAGTCGTCTTCCTGATGGCCAACCCTTATGTCCACATATCGTATGCCATAAACTAATTGATCAAATATGCTCTCGTCCTGAGCGTACAAATAGATTGATTTTGCTATTTATTGAATACATTTAACATAAGATTCTGTGTAAGAATATTCTTATATTTAATTTGATGATACATTACTGGGAATATTATTTAATCCGTATTTATGATAACATCCCGAGTCGTGAGCGCCGGGTATCGCGATCTCATCGAGTCTTTTGTGTCCAATCGAGTGAAGACTGTTTTCCATCCAAAAGGGTTGAGTTTTGAAGCAATTTTGGGCTAAAATGGTATTATTCCGGACGTATATTATATGCCATTTCAGACAACCATTAATGAGTGTCTCATTTGCATTGAAGTCTATATTCAATATTTGGTGAGAAGTTCTTTAAATATAAATAAAATCAGATTAAAAATATAAAACTACTGTATACTCAAAAATATAGATTCTTGTGTTTATTTTAAATTCATGGAGTCATTCAAAAAGTACATGTTTATGTAATGTATCAAGGTGTTTACTAATAACTTATAAATAGTATTTTTCGGGTACCTACTTATTGAATGACTCCATAAGCCTTATACCGTTTATGACCGCTTTTAAGGCAATTTGTATTGATTTTGAAAACAGGATTATCGATGCTATCGGTGTGATTGGCATACAGTGCCACCCAATCATCTGTACAACCCTTCGGTGCGTTCATCCAATTCATGACAAGCCGTCTCTCTGTCTGGACGTCGGGAACCAATTGCCAGAAGTCTTTGGTATCCATTTGGGCGGAAATTGTGAGCCAAACGTCTAATTGATTGCCACCTAAATTGAGGGTTAATTAAGTAATACTAACATTAATTTTTATAATAAAAAGCAATAAGTTGTTCATATTTTACACATACATATGATTTGAAAGAAAATTAACTTTAATTGTATGATCATATTTATGACTATAATAAATGAGTGAGTATTCATTTTTAATATAATAAAAATATTTAAAATTATTTTTTAATTAGTTTTCAATAGCATTAGTGAGTCATATGAGCTATAAATATTAAACAAATTAATTAAATAACAAAATTCATTAATTTCATAATATTTTTAATTATTAGAAAAATTAATCAGTGTCACATGTTTTAATACAGTATATATTTTGGCATTTAATCAAATATTATTTACTAAAACCTTAACATAATTAAGAAAATACCAACATTTTGATTAAATAAGTGATAAATAAGATAAGAGTTGATCACAAGATTTCTGATCCAAGTTTTCCATCCAAATATTGTGCGAAAAACTTGTAATCATTTTGTTGAATGAGTTTTAGCGTGGATTCAAATGTGGGATCAGTTTTGAGATAACTCTTATGAATAGACCATAAATTATATTCCGATAATACTGGCGAACACTCGGGTCTTCTGGTATCAATTACAGCACTCATTGAGTCAATGATTTGATCCAATTTAATGAATTTCTCATATATTTCATATCCCGAGTAAATACTCAATTCCAGTGAACTGCAATAAAAAATATAAATTTTAATTAATTATGTCAATAAACTAAGAATCAAAATGATTACTCAAAAGCATTCAAATTAAACAATTTGTGTGCAATGATCGCTAGACTATAAATATCTGCTTTAATGGTGTATTTAGTTCGCAATTTAGTTGGCAATTTAACTTCTGGTGCCATGTATTGAATTGTGCCCACTCCTGTGGTATGACTGGCTTGGGAACCATCAGGGTGCAATGACGCCAAACCAAAGTCACACAATTTCATAAACCTACCCTTCCTTACATTCTTCGCCAACAAAATATTGTCGGGTTTGAGGTCCCTGTGGATGATCTGTGGACTCAATTCATGCAAATACTGGACGCACTCTAAGAGCTCTTTGAATATATGACACGATATGTAAAACTCGATTGAATTCATGGGTTCTCCCGGTTGTCGACCAAATACTTGTGGTTTGCGTATAAGAATGTCCTTAAGACTATGGCCACCCAACTCCATGTGTATATAAAATATATGGCTTTCTGTGCCGCTATCGATATAATGGACAACAAATTCTGATCGAACTTTAATTAAAGTTTTCAATTCTTTATATAATTTATTTGGATCAGGAATTGCTAAAAATATATATGAATTATAATCAATTAAATTAATGTTAATTATTTTAAATTAATTTAAATTTAATATATCAATACCGTTAGTTTGTATCATTTTGACTGCATATTCTTGTCTATCAGATTTTTTAATAACTCGATATACTTTTCCAAATGCTCCTGAACCAATTTCACCTTTAACTTCGAATATTGCCTTAAATGACAATAAATTAGTATCGGGATCAATTCCATCTAAACATTATATAGAAATATAAAATATAAATTAATTAACAATAACAATTACTGACAGTATACTACCATTTATGGTTTTATTTATAATGGCAAACATTTTGTGTAAAAATTTATTACAATTCTCTATAAATTGTTGTTTTGTGTTATAATTATATTCTTCATAATCGCATAAATTAATTGTTTTGTGAGTCATTTGAAATTCCAGTGAATAAAAGTCGAACAAATTATTATAATTAGTTTCACCCAGGCCAGTTTTCATAAACACCTTGTACACTTTTCCATTTATTATGGCAGCAATATAAGATATATGCTTTTGGTATGTGAACACTCGATACAGTTCTTGAAACCTTTCGGTAAAAAATAATTTGGCCGTTTCTTGAATCGCGTAATCACCTTGCTCATCCCGGTATTGGCCACAAAAATAGACTAAACCATCATTCTTTATGAAATATGCCCTGGTACCTGCGCCGGACATACTTCTTACATGAGTCAAATTGTCTATTAACTGTGGCCTTGCTACATTGTCAGTTGTTTTATGACCCAAATTAAAGTCTTCATTTGAACCCCAACTAAACACCTGTCCATCAGTAGTGATTGCAAACGATGAGTATTGAAAACAATAGACAGCTGTAATTTTATGTTCAGGGTCAAAATTCAATTTAATTGGTTGAGCCACGCTATTAGACTCACCACCACTGCCTACCTGTCCCTCTGAATTTCTACCCCACCCGTAGACACAGCCACCACTCGTGAGCACTAATGAGTGACAATAACCGCAACTTATTTGTCGCACATTTAAGTTATTTATAAATAATTATATGTTTTTAGGTCTTAAGTAACCCTTAATTGGTGGCCTGGCTAATTGTCCCTCATTATTGCAACCCATACCATATATGTAGTTGTTTTTATTGATGGCTAACACAAAGTCGGATCCATTGATGAATTGTGTGATATTCTTGTGATACAATTCCCGTATAAGTTGTGGTGAATTGACAGCCCTATTGTGACCCAATCCTAGAGCTCCACAAAAATTAATGCCTAAACCGTATACTAAATCATCGGTTGTGGCGAACAGTATGTTATGTCCTTTTGGGTCATCAAACACATGAAATAATTGAATGCATTTAATAAGTCTTTTATTAACTGACATTTTTACTGAGTTTGTAATATATTCAACAAAATTAGCAAACAATATAATTATTGTTAACATAAGTTGGTTACTGAAATGTAAAATGTTAAATTAAAACGCACATTAAATTTTAGGCGTAAACGTTACTTTGCAGTCTATTTATAACTTTTGCAATTAACATATTAATTAATACCTATCGGTTATTATAGTAATTAATGCGCTCATATATTTTGAGATGTAATGTATTGAAAAAATATAATGTCAATTTTAGGAACTTCATATAAAGTACACATTAAATGTAAATTTTACTGAATTGAAAACATAAATAATTCATGAAAATTTCACTAAGTAAAGTTATAGTTAATTTAATAATCTATATTAAATAATCGATTATATTTTTGAGATATACTTTGTATAAGATGTTGTAACTACCTGCACACTCATCACCGGTAGGTGTTACAATTTTATTATAACTAATATTTATGCGTTATATAATATAAGCAATAATTAATGGTCCCGTTAATTTATTTTATTCATTTTATGAAAAATATTATAATTTTATATTTTATCTATAACTTCGCTTAAGTTTAATTAACTAATATAATGAACAGTCATTAATCAGAATATAAAGGTAATCATAATTATCAAATTCAAAAGTCCAATTTATAATTTAATGGCTCTTAATAATATTTTAATCGTACCTATCATATTTGACATTTAAAGTTCTTATCAAAATTAATTATATTTTAATGAATTGATTAAATGTTAACATTTACATAAATATTTAATAATAGTTACAACAATAAGTAGTAGTGATACGTAAATACAAATCACAAAAGTCAAACCTATTAAACATTAATTAAAATTAGTTTCAAATGATTTTAACATTATTCCTATTTATCAGTATTAATAGTGTTTCTATTAATAAAGCTGAATGCCAGATTTACAGTAGTTTTCAATGCAATTATAGCAAACAGTATGTCACTGTACAATTTTCAATATCACCCTGAAGTTCATATTCCCCTAAACTTAAATATTGCCGGATAGAAGATTGATTATGAGTATAGATAACAAGTTTAGAAAGTTTATATGCTACTTAAGTACAACT